GGGGCGGTTGGGAGGGAGAGAGGGGGGGGGTTAATAAAAGGAGTTTAGAGGAAGCACCATTTTGACAGGATGGAACTTTCTGGACTTAACACTCCTCATTTGCCGGCAGAAGCTTGCTTACCGACTGGTAGAGTTGTTGTATGCATTTTACTCCCACTATATTATCGGGAGAGTCAGCATTAACTTCATTAAAGTGCCTCATTATTCTAAGCCATCTCTACAATTTCTTATTGTTTTCCTTTCTTTTTTACTTCTACCACTCGTTTCTTCAAGATCGGTGGTCTTAGAGGGAGATAGCGAAAGCTACGCGTCGCTCTTTTCCCCCCCAATAGATACCACATGCCCCTAATTTCACGAGGACCAAGAGCACTTGTCATGTTCGCGCCCCTTTAACCTGATTACTTTATTAGCGCGCATACCAGGGTACTATTGCATAATTTACGACTCAGAGACCGCTTCTTTTATTTCTAATACATAAGATGCCTAACAGGAATAATAAATGTTTTTTTTCGCAATAAGCTCATTCTATATCCACGCATGCTAAGGAATTGTTTGACCGATTGTGCTATAGTTAACTCGAGTCCAAAATTTGGCTTCGTGTTTTTCTACCAATGGTTAATTAGGCAAGATTTACAAGGTCAATGTCGTCGTCTACTTGTTTAAGGCAAAATCTTGCACCCCATATTTAAACGTCAATCATGTTTAGCTTGGTATTCGTCGAACGTTATTTCCCATTATNCCCCCCCCCCCCCCCCCCCCCCCCCCCACGGCCGGCTGGAGTTGACTGCACCGTCTAAGAATAAGAAATTAGTCAAAGTGTTATTTGCTAAAGGCATAATAAAGGAGTCTCAGTTTGTATATTTACTTTATCCTAAATCAAAGCCTCATTGACGCGATAATTGACTTATAGTTTGTTCCTCAAGTTCTCTCTCTGCTCCTTGCCCCCCCCTCTCCCCCCCCCTCCCCCCGGTCGCATCTCAACCAATCCTGTTCGTGAGTTTCTCCTGTTTGATTTTTCTTCCGTTTCTTCTAAATACCGCGAGATTCAACCAATCGTCACAAGTGGGTTTTGACTACGTGTTTTCTAGTTTGTTTGCGGGGAAAAATTTTCTTGAGACATTTATTTATATATTTCAAATGGCAGGCGTTTTGATAGTTATCATTAGCCCTTTAGCTGACTTCGGGCTTCACAGAGGGAAGGAACGTCAAAGTAACAGAAAGTCGATGGGTGGGGAACAGAAGAGTGGTTTACAGTTGTAAAAGAGGCAGAGAAAATGTAAAATGATTACTGTGGAAGTGGTAGTATATGGCATAGAGTGAGGTGATGGTAGTTTGAAGTCAGAAGTCAACTGCCGGTTAATAGACTTTTTTGCCGTAAGAGTATACGTTGCCCAGGGTGCACCACGTGGAGGCAAGTCTATCGCACGCACATTATTAATCTGAATTCTCGCTTTAATTGCCTTAATCTGACTGGGTTTGATAACAAATTACCTCTTTTAGTTTCAATTTACGCAATCTCACCACCTGCTGTTAAGGTTTGAAATTCCACTCTAATTTGTGTTGGCTTCCTGAATTGATAACTATTTTTTTCTATCCAGTGGTCAATTTGAGATTCATGATGTCATACATGCATGTATATATATATATATATATATATATATATATATATATATATATATATATATATATATATATACATGCATGTATTCAAATTCTCTCTCTCTCTCTCATCTTCTAATTTTGATTAGATTGGGTGGTCGAGTGTTTTGAGCCACATTCAGATTAGCATTAGGAAGCGTAGAGTATTCGCACTTTCCTCTCCGTATTAATTATGGTGGCTTTCAATGCCCCTTTATGCGTCTTTTCGGGTTTGTCCTCACATCCATTGCCTCCTTTGTCTTTAGATCTGCCATCTCTGTGGTGACCGCAGGTCCCTGTTGTCCAGTTATCGCGATCACTCGCCATCCTCAAATCGCCCGTCACCTCCGCGCCTACAGAGGTCTCTTTCCTTTCGTCTACACCGGTGAGTTCTTCCTGTTTTGCACACACACGCACACACAAAATTACTTCATTCTGAGGGGTTTTTTGTTCATTTTAAGCACAGTAAATTTTAGCATCCTTGTTTTGCTATTTCCTCTCCGAAATTTTCTTAACCACCACTCTCTCCCTCGGTGTTCGTGTCTCTTTGCCTAACCTTGAGGTGAGGCTACCAATGGGAGTTGATATAACTATTCTTTTTAACTTGACCGGATCTCGCTACCACCGCTATGTAATAGTCCTTATTTTCGATTCATTCCCTGTATGCATGTTTCTCATGAATAATTCAAATGCCCCTCCACCCCCGCCCCGCCCCGCCCTCCCTTGGCTTTTTGATCAAGAAACTCGCCGTTCGCATCTACCTCGGTAGGTCAGTGCTAACTGATTTGTAGGGTGCTCAATAACATGATTGTTTGGTCACTAGAGTTACTCACTGGCGAGAGGAGGAGGAGGGAAGCTTTTCACTTGGCATCGTTACTGCTTTGTCCACCTCACCCTCCTTTTTTTGACTTGGGATGTTTGAAAAACCAAGTTGGATTTGGAGATTTTGGTGGGTATTCAGCTCTGGATGTGTGTCACTCTTTGATGACAGGTGTGTGTGTGTGT